AAAAAAAAAAAAAAAAAAAAAAAAAATATGTCAGCCAACAATAACTTACACAAAACTAATTTCAAATTTCAAGTCTTGTTCAAACAAGACATAAACAAAGCATGATTTACTCACATGCTTGAATGCAGACTGTATCATAAAGCTCATCAGGATAAATATCACTCTAAATGAATTGACTTAAAGTATCATCACAATATTTTAATCTATAGAGAACAACATTGGCGTACGGAAAAGCCGGAGGAGGCAGAGTGTAAGGTGAACAGGCCCCACGACCACGCAAACTCTGCCATGTAGAAGCATATGGCCACCACCGCCAAGCTCGCTCACCACTTGGGCAGCTCCCCGGGTTCCCGTCCACCCCAAACTTACCCCGATGCATGTCAGTGATTGTAACCGATTTATTGCTCACAAGTAAAATATAATGATAGTTCAATCTAATTTAAAATAATAAGCACACCAAAATAATAACAATAATATTTATAATTCAATTACCTGGCAGATGAGCATCTGAATTTGGCCTCAGATGAAGAGAAATTGCCTCCCTAAACCTTTCAACTGCGAAAATCCAGCCTTTCAACTGTGAAAATCCAGCCCAATGTGGCAAGGCTTGTTGTCCCACTTTGGTAGTGCTAAAAATCTGAGTCATGTGCACGAAAACGAAAAAAAAAATTGATACTTTTTATTTGTCCAAACGAAATAATGAGAACAATTACTTCTTGAAGATGGTAGAAGATCTAAAAATTCTAAGAAATATCAACAAAAAAACTACCCCCAATTCTGCAAATTCATACTCTGATCCGCAACCTCAGTTGATCCAGCGGTCAACCAGCAATAGATTGCATCGCTGCCGGACTTACTCGCGTTCTTCCAACCGAAATCCCTCAAATTCGTCGGCGAGGCCTCATTCACCGGAGAAGATGTGGTTGAGCTGCGCGCTTTGAGCTTCATGAAGGCCGTCGATATCTCCAATTCCTCGGTCTCCCTTCTCCTCCCTTCGCGATAAACGGAATCGTGGCGTGGTGAAAGAAAAAGAAAAGGGGAGGTTAGACAAAGTTAGGTTTGACCTTATTGGTGGGTCGAGTATGTTCATTTTTGCTCGAACAGGTTGATTGTTGATTCTGATTTATCAAATTTGTTTTTCGACCTTAGTGATGGGTCCAGTATGTTCATTTTTGCTCGAGCAGGTTGGTTATCGAATTTGGTTTATCGAATTTGGTTTATCGAATTTGTTTTTCGACCTTAGTGGTGGGTCGAGTATGTTCATTTTTGCTCGAGCAGGTTGATTGTTGATTCTGGTTTATCGAATTTGTTTTTCGACCTTAGTGATGGGTCGAGTATGTTCATTTTTGCTCGAGCAGGCTGTTGTATGATTCTGGTTTATTGAAATTATTTTTCGACCCCAGTGGCGGGTCATGTATATTCATTTTTGCTCGAGCAAGTTGATTGTTGATTCTGGTTTATCGAATTTGTTTTTCGACCTTATTGGTGGGTCGGATATATTCATTTTTGCTCGAGCAGGTTGTTGGATGATTCTGGTTTATTGAAATTATTTTTCGACCCTAGTGGCGGGTCATGTATATTCATTTTTGCTCGAGCAGGTTGATTGTTGATTCTGGTTTATCGAATTTGTTTTTCGACCTTAGTGGTGGGTCGAATATGTTAATTTTTGCTCGAGCAGGCTGTTGGATGATTCTGGTTTATCGAAATTCATTTTTCGATCCCAGTGGCGGGTCAGG